GTTGGAACTCTCTCCCTAAAAGAAAAACGCTGGCTGGCTTCTAGAGTGTGGTGGTGCTTGAGTTTCCAAGTCGTTCTTAGGTTTGGGCTCATTATTTGGTGTGCCTAGAAACAGTTTGGCCGCAGGATCTACGCCAATGCTGCTGGCTTCAATGACATCACCACGGGCAGCAGCAGCAGCGGCGGTTGCGATCAAGGATGGCCTGCAAAGCAAGGCGCTCTCTCGGCAAAACGGGGGCATGGGACACTGCCTAGATTGAAAAGCCCGGAGAACCCCGACTACCCTTTGCAGGTCACACTTTTCACATGGATGGTGCTGCAGCGCCGGACTGTGTGTGTGTGTGTGTGTGGAAACAGCTACCAGAACCACGACCACCACATCCACCACCACCCACCACATCCATCACCACCACCACCACCACATCCACCATCATATCCACCACCACCACCACATCCACCACCACATCCACCACCACCCACCACATCCACCACCACCACCACCCACCACCCACCACCCACCACCCACCACCCACCACCCACCACCCACCACCCACCACCCACCACCCACCACCCACCACCCACCCACCACCCACCACCCACTACCCACCACCCACCACCCACCACCCACCACCCACCACCCACCCACCACCCACCACCCACCACCCACCACCCACCACCACCACCACCCACCACCCACCACCCACCACCCACCACCCACCACCAACACCCACCACATCCACCACATCCACCACATCCACCACCAGCACCACCAGCACCAGCACCACCACCACCACCACCACCACCACCACCACCACCACCACCACCACCACCACCACCACCACCACCACCACCACCACCACCACATCCGTCACAACCACCACATCCGTCACAACCACCACATCCGTCACAACCAGCACATCCGTCACAACCACAGCGGCAGTGCAAAAGCCTCTTCAATGCGCACAGCTTCGGCTCTAAGAAGTGAGCCTCTCACTTCTGCTACCCTACTTCTTGCGACATCCCCTTTTTGACCGCCGTTTTCGAGTCACACAAACCCGATCGCCAGGTTGGGACGCCGTGACCGGCATGGGCACCCCGAACTATGGACGCCTGGCTGAGCTGGTGACGCAGCTTCCGGGAGCTGAAACTGAGCTGGTGGCCGCGGCCTGAGCAGGTGTGTCGTTCTTGGGGGACCCCCCCCAAAAAAAAACATACATACATGCATGCATGCATGCATGCATACATACATACATACATACATACATACATGTATAGATATGTTGGTTTTCTTTTGGGTTCCATCTTCAAAGTCACATTAGCTGGCTGTGCTGCTTTCTCTGTGGTGCTATTTGTGCAATCTCTGAAACCAGTGCTCTTTGTTGGAAACTTCCGCCCACCGGTTCTCGCAACTCAAAAGTTACTGCCTTGTGGGCAGTCGATTGTTGAGCTTAAACTGCCAAAATGCGCTTTGCAGAGAGTTGTACCGTGCTTAGGTCTTCCAAGAATTGCCACAAGCCTCCTGTTGGTTTAATTTTGACCCATTCGCACTATGGCAACTTACATGTTTGTTTTGCGGCAGTCGGTAGGAAAATGCAAGGAATCACGCATTCATCGGGAAAACAGAAGGCCATGGATAAGCGCAGACCAAGTCGCACAAAGAGGTTGATGTTCCCCACCTGGCTCAGACAAGCTCTAAACATGCTTGCAACCATCTATTCAGCACACAGGAGGCCCAAACCAAAAATGGTGCCTTGCTTCTGTGATGTTCGCGATCAAGATTTCACGTTTGTCCGGAGGAGATCCCCCCCCTCCCCGCCGAGCCCCCGAACGTACTCTGAATCAGAGTGCAGTTCAGCTGCCCTCAGTTCGCTTGACCGAATGCAGATTGGGTGTGGCACATATCGTCTTCCAACTACTTAGCCAGTCAGTCGTTAAGTTGTTGAATAGCCTAGATGGCCAGATGTTAGTCATCTAGTGCACTAGCTACTTGTTTTTCTTTTGTTGTTTGTTCTTTGTTTGTTTGCCTGGCTGACTGTCTCTTTGTCTGTCTCTCTGTCTGCTAGTTTTGTTTATTTGGTTGTTTGTTTGTTCAGTAGGATGCATAGCGGGCTAGGCAAGTCGTCTCGTTGGCTGACTAAATCCATGGAACGTCACAACATTTCAATACAAAGAGCACGAATTACACTTTTGGACCCTGGCTTTTGTGTCACTTTCGCATGGCTGCCGCCTCAGTCGCGTGGTTTCACATGGTCTTCACGCACTGGCAGTTGTCCTTTTCATTGCAAGGGGCTGCTTGGTCACGCAACCCACCAGCGAACACTGGCATTCTGGCCTTTCTCGCTTTTCGATTTAATGCTTTTCGAGTCGGAATCAAATGCCGTTTTGTGGAAGCCCTTGCAGCTTGGCGCAAACTCGATGAATTGGGTGAATGTTAGGGGACCCTTTGGTACAGCTTAATGACGTGGAGGTTCATGTCCACCAGCAACTTGTAAAGTCCAGACATTGAAATGTCCAGACATGTGTGGATTGCAACAAGGCGTTCTTTACTTTGTGACACACTCTGTTGAGCTCATGCACGTGAGTCAGAGACATCCTGATTCGGCGGCAATTCACAATGGAGTGGGTACGCCGTTGCGCATGAGTCACATGGTTCGCACAGCTTTGATTCGAGTTGCAACTGGAGTGTGGAGTCGAAGTTTCGATCCCAGAATTTTCTGGCTCCAGCTTTCCCGGATACAGCTCCACGCCTCGCTTGAACTTTTCGCCATGAAGTTGGCCTTTGTGGGCGCAGGGGTGGCTTTGGCGCAGCTCCTCCCGCTGGCTTTCGTGCAGCCCCTGCGTGCCATGTGGGCGTGGTCGGCAGGCGGGTAAGGCGAAGACTTGTTTGGAGGTTTCGGGGGTGTGAATCTTTGCGCGGCTAAAATCAAACCGCATGTCTTTGAATTGGCATGAAGCTTGCTGGTTTGCTCAAACCTAATCATGCTTGGGAGGGGTCCTAGTTGCCTCCCCCCCCCCCCCCCCGGAATCATTCTTGCGCCACTCTTGCGCATGTGCGCCCTAAGCGGGATCGCTCCCGTCAGATCCGCCCAAGTGCAAATCAGCGGCTCCCTCCAGCTGGACCTTCGATGGCAGCGCCACGATCGCGCACGGGGCGAGCGCCAGCGTCACCTGCACCAACGGCAATACCCCCACCACAGCCACGGTGTCCTGCCCCAGCAGCACTGGAGCGGATTTCCATGCGTTCGGGGAAGTTCAGGGTGGGATCTCAAGGGGTTTATCCAACCACTTCTGTGATACAAGGGAATCTCCCCTTTTATATGGTAGGTTCGTCTTTGGGAAGCCCTTTTTGTTGAATGACAGATCATTCACAGAAGTGGTGATTTCCCACAGCCTGGTCATCGAGATTTGGTTCTTGGGATTCCTTTGGCTTATACAAATCAGAACCCGATATATATATTTTTTACGACACCCACCGATATGTTCAGAATATGTTGTGTATGCTCCAGTACAAGAGAGCGGAAATCAGCGGGGGGGAAAGGAGTGGAAGGGGTTGGTGTGAGAATTGATTGGCCCAGCCGAGTCCTTGTGGCCAAGATTTGGTTTCAGCATGCATCCAGGCACTATTGTTACACCTGACAACGTTGTTGGCTGTATGTGGTTCGGCAGACCATGGGTGGACTACCCAATCTTCGTTTAAAAAAAAAAGAAAAACAACTTGCGATCGGTGCGATAGGCAGGGAATGAGAGTTGATTGGAATGACCCCGAGCAAAAGCATCCATCCTATGGTTTCCCGTAATTTAAGGGAATCCCCAAAACCGGTTCGTTCAGCCACATTCCCTACGGAGCACCATATCGCAGCATCTGCAAAGAATTGTGTGCAGGAACGAGCCCGGATACAGATTGGTGGGGTCCTTGCGGTTTCGGTGATGCCTGCTCCACGCAGAAGGTGGTGGGCTCGGCTTCTTATTGCGGAGAAGCCGGCCATGGGGCCATGACGAAGATCGGATTGGGCACCTTAGTTTTCGCAGCTGTTCAGCTCACTCGTTGAGCTTTTTGCGCCACGCTTACGCATTGTTTTAGCTTTCCACTCCGCCTACGAATGTGTGAGGTGGGATGGATAAGCATTTGCAGCCTCAATTCCAGAATCCGCGCTCTCGCTCAGCTGTTCACTTTGCCTGGCTGCACAAGGATGCAGCCATTGTGGCATACTGGGGTCTGTCCCAATTTCAGCCAAAAGAGTCCGACAAAGCAGATCCCATCGAGTTCATTTTGAGCGCTTTGTGGCCAGCTTGTCCCCTTCTTGGCGCGACGTGTGCTTAGGGCCAAGCGCAGTGCTAGCAGTAACCCTTGCCCCAAGCCAACCTTTCGGTTTCCCCTTTGTGGGTTCCCATTTGTGGCCCCAAACGGCTCACCTTATATATATATATATACACATATAATTACCTATAGGTATACAATAAATAGATAAATCAATAAATACATTAATAAATAAATAAGGAAATGAATAAATACATAAATGAATAATAACATCTATATATAGAGAGAGAGAGAGAGAGAGAGATGCTGTGTTGCCTGAGGTCTGAGGCGCCTTCGGATGGCTTCAGCTGGCTTCGACCCCCCCCATTCTGCGGGGCCCTAGGGACCTTGCGGTGCTGCCAGGGCGCTGCAAAAGGACGCGAGTGCGCGGGCGAGAGTCCAGAGTCTGGGCCAAGAAGTTGACCCGGTGGGTCCTTTGGGAGGTGTCAGCAGTTTTGAAGCATGACCAACATCCAAAAACTTGAGTCACTGGCTCAAAGCCAAAATTTCTGGTATTTGGAGGGTAAGGGACGGCTTCCCCTTGCTAGAAATGGGTGCGGAGATCCGCCTCGGCAAGTCTTTACAGGGTTCTGGGTAGACCATTTTAAGACCAGGTTTTGGTTCTGAATCATCTGCAGCACTAGCTGACGTAGCCATGTCGGGTGCCAAATGCCGCCAAAGCAAATCACTCGTGAGATCGCCAGGCACTTCGACTTGACGAGCTCTGCAAGGGATACAAGAAGGAGGCAGAACTGATCGAGCGCAGTTTGGTGTTTTGTCACCCCTTCAGAATGTTTCTTGGTGATCTTTCTCAGCCCCGCTTTCTCTAGGGTATCATATGTTTGGCCAGACCTCTCGGTTTTTGCCATGGTAAATACCCGCCCCCTTTTCTTTTCTTCGTCGAGGGTTGACATGGTAGCGTCTGAAACGGCGGCTAGGTGGACAAATGGAAGGCCAAGGCCGAAGCGCTGGATGAGGAGAGCGCTTGCGGGATCGAAGCGGGTTGACCCCGAGAAAGAAAACGAAAACAACCAGTTTATTCACCTGAGCCACGTGCTCAAAACCTGGGTAGATGAAGGTTCGTAAGGGGCAGTCCCAGCCATAGCTGCGGAATGCCGGCTTCTTAATTCTTGAAGCATGGTTCTGGGTGGACCATTTCAATACCGGGTTTTGACTATGACTTTCACGGGGCTGGGGGTTTTCCCCCTCCAAAAGTGGTCTGATTCCCCACTAAAAGAGGGATGGAGTCAACATTACGGAGTCTTGCTGCAGCTTGGACTTCTTTTCGGCGCACTCCACAAAGGCGATTCCTTTTGGCTTTCCTAAGCCAAACATCCGGGCAACCAGAAGTCTTGAAACATGGGCGTTTATATATTTCCCCCTAATGACGATGGGTGACTTCTCCCATTTAGTGGGTGAACTGTCGTCATTTTAGTGGTTTTCCCCAATGGTCATGTGGTGGTGGTGTTTCTTTTGGTTGTCCTCGAAACCAACCGAACATGGGGTATCCCGAAAACAGAGACACCCACAGGTGGATTTGTATCAAAAAAAATGGACGCCCAACACGGCTTGGGGCTTCCTTTCGATTCTTTGGACAGCAACCTCAAAATGGGGTAGTCCAAAGACAACACCCGCCCACGTGCGTCTTTCCGGTGCCGGAGAGAAGTTGCGGCACGCTCCGGCACGCTTTGCAGGACCGAAGGTTCTTGGAGGACCAGATCAAAGGCGCAACATGGGTGGACGCGGCAAGAATGACACGTTATCCACACGTATACTCTAGAGTATACCTGGCCCCGGCAACCTACCCATACAACAAAGAAACACATCCCTCGAACTTTGGGGGCCTATTGCCCATGTTTGAAGGTGTTTTGAGGATCCAGGTACATACTTTGTATGGCAGGTGTCTGTTTTTTGGTGAGAATGCGTCAACTTGGTGCCAGGTGCCAAGCGCCAGAACAAGGCCAGTCCACCAGCCCAATGTGCGGAGCGTGCCGAAGTTGGGCTCGTCTTTTTTTGCCCCCCCCCCCCCCAGCCTGTCTGTGGCTTCGGAAGACCAAAAGGAGAACTCACCCATTTTAGCGGGGCTTCCCTGATTCAAAGGACAGGCGCATGTCGGGACTGCCGCCCTCGAGCTGAAGAGCTGCAAGAGCGAGACGAAACCGCCAACCAGCCAATTCTAGAGGGTGCGCTGGAAGCACGATTGCAGCTCCCAAACACAGAGCATTGCCAGGCGACCTTTTTCCAGAGATCGATGTCCCAATTGTCCAAGAACAGGCGCACAAGTTCTTGTGCGCGCCTCGAGCCACGCCATGCGGTCGAAGCTCGGCCTCGCGCTGGGTGCCGTCTTGCTCTACGCCGGCTGCTTCTGCGGCCGTCCGCTGAGCGGCCCTCCTGCGCGCGTGCGCGCGGGGCGCACGCAGGTGCGAGCCGCCCTGGAGGACCTGGACTCGGACTCGGGGCTCTACCGGGCGGTGACCAACATCAAGGTGCGCCTGGCGCCGGATATCAACGCCCCCAGCCTGGCGGGCGCGGAGAGCGCCAAGCTGAAGAGCGGGGAGTGGGTCTCCGTGATCAAAGAGGGGGAGGTCTTCCAGGCCTCCGAGATGAAGACCAGAGATGGCCAGGTCTACCTGAAGCTGGCAGACCAGGATGGCTGGGTCTTCGGCAGGGGCATCAGCGGCGAGTGGGCCGGCCGCAACATCGTGACGCCCATCCCGGACTCCGAGGCTTTGGGCGCGAAGGCGACCATCGTGGGGAGCCTCATGGAGCGCCAACTCATCCGCGACTCCTCGGACAAATTCGCACTCTACTTCGTGGGAGGGGCACTGCTGCTTGTCCTCATCGAAAGGATCTGGGAAGAGTTCGCCTGATTCTCCGCAGCGGCTTTCTCGCGCCCTCTGTTCTCGCGGAGCCCGATCGGGCTTAGCGAGGGCTTCCCGGCCGGGCTTCCCCATACGGGGCCTTGCGGCATTGACCAAAGACGCCATTGACCGAGGATATGTTTTTTCCGCGCACGTCGGGGGGAAAGGCTTGGCGACGCGGAGCTGCGTTTTCTGGAATGCTTCGCTCGGCTTCGGCTCAAGCAGATGCCCAAAGCGAGTCGACCTGATCTGACCTTTCGAATTTTAACATTCGGCCCATTTTTTGCCACGGCCCCAAAAGGTAAACCTTTCATTTCTGACTCCTTTGGGCAGCTGAGTTTGAACCATGGGGGCCAAGTGGAATTAGTGGAGCTCGTAGGACCGGGTATTCAGGCAGGTCACTTGCCATGGCATCCGGCGACGATGGAAAGGCCAGGACCCTTGGCAGTCTCAGTGCGCCTATCGGCTCCGTTGGGCAAGCGAATCAAACGACCCAGAGATGTGAGGACCAGATTTGTCAGAGCTTGGCCCTGAAAGGACGTCGGTCACCCGCAACGTTGCTTTGAAGTTTTGACTATGGATGTGCGGCGTATGTTTCAATCCCCAGGCGAAAGAGACGGAGAAGGACAAGGCACAGAGCGAGTGACATCTCGAAGAAGTCACGATCGGCCATGTCTAGGCTGGTCTTGACACAGCTGTGACTCCCGCATATTCCCGCCTTGTTCCTACTGCTCTTTGGATTTGTTGATTATCAACCCAAAACACCAAAGCTTGAGGATTTTCACACTTGCCCTCTCAATTCTCCTGAGGACTTTGACTTTGCCAGATGTGCTGCCAGATTAGCGGCGCTAGCTTTGAGCTGCAGAACCTTGGCTGAGTCTGTCAGAAAACATGACTTGCCGCAAGAGCCCCCGGTTTCGCTTCAACCCTTTGGACCTGAAATCAACGAAGCCGGTGCCACACGGCCCCTACCAAATTCGCCTGGCAAACATGCAGCAGTATCCACAAGCTTCCCTTCTCCTGCCACTGGAAACACGCTGAAAGCTAGCTTGAACTGAGCTTGGGGCTGTTGCCATGTTGATTGTTTGTATGTCTTCTTGGCCTTTTTTTTTCGTGGCCAAGATTCGCCCCTTTCTGTTTCAGAAGGCGCCTGGATGTTCCGCAGCCCCATTGGAGCCTGGGGAGCGACAACACCGCGAGTTGATGTGTTGTATGCTGACTTCGAATTGATCCGGGGGATGAATCAGGGCTGGTTCCCCTGCGAAAAAGGGAAATTATTCTTATTTTTTGCGAAAGAATCCGAACTTCATATGACGAGTTGGTAGCATCTCGGGACATGTTGTTGGCCCTTGCGGGAAAAAACAACAAAAAATCCGCATGTCCAAGAAAAAGGAACACCGGGTTTCCCAAGCCTACGGGTCTCTACGACCCCAACGGGCCCCGCAACTCACCTCGAATGCCTGGCGCCAGGCTGAAAGCCGGGGGCCCGGCCGGCGCGAGTGGCGGACGCTGCCAAACATATTTGGGGAAACCCAAGAGGAGCCATGGATCCACGGCTCGGCACCGAGTCGAGGCATTTCGCACAAGAACTGCACTTCAGACCCGCTACTGAGAGTGGCCCTTCGCGTCGGTTTCAGGCCCCGATTTTTTTTTCGGGCAGCATCAACTTGAACCGTGCCATGGCAGATTTATCTCCATCCCGTGGAGAACTGACACCGGGAATCACCGGGATGTGGGAACCCCCCAACAAAAATGCCAAAAATATGTTCCTTTTGGCTCCCCCTCTTCCGCCCAAACCCAAAAGGGTTCTCCCTCCAAAAACGCGCCATGCCACACGCACGGTCCACCGCCCACCTGCCAGTCGACCCGAGGCAAGCCATCGCAGCCCGAGCCGGTCGCAGCCCCGGGCTTCGGATCGCTTCGAGGTGCCGAGGTGCCGAGGTGGCGGGGAAGTGAAGTTTGAGCGAGTTGAATTCCAGCCTCGGCCAGAATTACGGCCAATACGTGTGCCCCAACGTCCTGGTCAAGGTCCTGTGGGGCGGAACGGATGTATTGGGGGCAGAATTAGGTCCCCCTTTTTTGTTTGTTTTTTTTTGCTTTTTTGGGGCCCCTTTGTTTTCCACTCACCAGGCAAAAAGAAGACATGTTTCTTCGCTGGGGTCCTAATTCTAGCCTAGCCTTCAAGTTGGACAGACAGAACTCGAGTCCCAGCGATTTCTGTTTTGATGTCTTAGCACAGGCGGATCCATTGAAAAAAAATCACGCCCACGTGTTTGGCCGTCTGACATGAAATAATCCCCGGAAAGGAAGTGGCAAGTGGCAGACCTTTACGGCGCTCAGAAAAGGAACAGGTCCAACCGTAAAGGTCAGGTGTAGACAGGATATGATTTGTGGTTTGGAGGTTATCCAGACTGTCATGAGCAGGACGAGGATTTGTTTGATAGCTGTTGCAGCGTCAGAAAGGAAACCCGTCCTTTGCCGGTACCAACGGAATGGCATGCAGTGTGCTTGCCAAATTGCCAGAGGATAGGAGTGCGTACATACTAGTCAACTCACCGAGTTCTCCTGTCTGCGGGAATGAAGCTGATAAAGCTTTGACCATTGTACATTGCCAGACATTTGGTTTCATGGGTTTCCATTAGCAACGATTGACCAGCAAAAGCAACTCTGTTTGACAGGATTTGTGTTATAGTCTTAAAATAGAGATCCCACAAAACACAAATGGTTGGTTCCGTTTTTTTGTTTCCAGCTCAAGGGTGCACACCTAAGACAAAGGCCAACCCCATTCATGAGGCCAAGAGCTTGCGACGCGCTAAGTCCGAAGAGGATCCCGAGCTGTTGGCCATGGCCAGGGAAGATGCTGCGGCTTGGCGCGACCCAACTCGCCTGGACAGGTTTGGGGATTCAGATGCGGGGGCCCATCAATAATATTCACGTGGCCATGGGGGTCACTTTTCCCATTTGGTGGGAAAATAATGGTTTTGGTGGTTTTGCAGAATGGTCATCAGATGTAAATGACCTTTGATCAACCCCCATGTATGCTAGGAAGAGGAAGCAAAAGAACATGCCCACTTGGTGCAAGTAATGTCAGCTTGACCGACACGCCAGGGACTCATAAGCCTTAAAGCTCAGCCACTTGTGCCCAATCCGGAAATCCAGGTGCCAGCCTTCCAAAAAGCCAGAAATCGACGACGGCTCCGAAAGACACGAAGCATTCCACGGACCGTTGCGCTGCCCAGAAACGTGCAGCTGCCCTGGCGGACGTGGTAGCGCCTCGACTGAATAGCCCAGAGGTGTGGCCACAAGTCAAGGTTTGGTCCTGGAAACGGCTTGCCCAGTGGATCCGTTTACCAGTTTTGTCGGCAACGAAGGGAACCGCACCCTTTGAAAACCAAAAGGACCATTAGCTGGTTGCCGTTGTTTTCCGTAATTGGGATCCGCTGGATGATTTACTTGGAGCGTATGTCTTGTCACAAGACATCTCCAAGTGGCTTCTAACAGGAAGCCCGCCTTCGATCATCTGAAAGGGTCCACTTGAACTCCGAGAACCCCTGCTCCCTTTGCCGGACATCATGTTGGTTCTCCGTCAACCGCTCTTGAGATGGTTCCAACTCTTCAAACTGGCCTTCACCTTTCCAACTCGTTTTGGTTCAGACGGGGCTCCGAACCTCCGGTGGCCAAAGCCCCTCCCGAACCCTCCGGTGGCCAAAGGGGAGAAAGACGGGCGCAGGACCAAGTGGAGAAGTTTCAGCTGGACGACGACTTTGACTATGACAACTGCTCCCTGGAGCGAAAGTGTTGGCCAAGGGAACTGTGGTTTGTACTCACTTGCTGAATAGGGATTCACCACAAATGCGTCCCAAGTGTTTGCCGTGCCTGGATGTTTCTCGGTTTCCTTCGGGAGCTCGGGTCCCACTTTTCCCTGTGTCCAATAATGAACGTTGACTGATTGTTGATCATTGCATCATTTTTCATGATGCCATGTCTCTAAGAGCTTCACCCATGTTTTTGTTCTTTTTTCGCATGCCATCTTTCACGTTTCACAGGTTCAGCTCCGACTTGTGTGAGCTTAGGCCCGCTCTCGCCTCCGGAGTGGCCA